GCAGTATGAATACTTTTGAACCAGATCTACAGTTGGCAGGTGATAGAATATGCGTCCTCTGTAAGGCAGCTACATTCTTTCGACGGTGGGGAAAGGAAGCTCTCCAAAAATATAATTGGATCACCTCGAAGTTTAACATGAAAATATCTTCTTTCTCAAGTATGCAAATAATTAAAGCTTCTTGGCCAATGAATCTTAACTTCTATCATAGCGCGGGACCTTCTGGCTCCTTATAAATAGCTAATGCTGCATGCTGTGGAAAGTTTGCTGATCGTTCCTTTAGTTTCTTTTGTAGGCTACAACTAATAACATTACGATGCACTCGGAGACCTTACACAAATTGCACGGCTTCAAGAAGAGCCGAATTTTCAGGCTGAGGGAAGCTGAGTGGTGAAGTCGAACAATAGGCTGCCACTTCGGTCTTAGAGACAGGATCGTACAAAGATACTGGTAGGAATGGTTCCTCCATGTTATTATATTCGATGAAATGTAGGCTTCGATAGCGCAAGAATTATAAATGCCGGAAAAAATTCGGTTGATTTTCTAACAATCCCTAATTGTTCTAGCGTCATCATTGCCCATGATAGAATGTGCTATAATTTCTTCCGTACCATCTGTAGTACCTTCCACAACTTTATGACACTCGTCTGAATCAGGATTTCAGCTCATGCGGCACCTTTAGACGTCTGCATCGGCAGCATCGTTTAGAAAGGTGCTTTGTACAGCGTGATTGATTTCTGATTGGCAGTGCATTATCTTCAGTAATGAATGCCGCTTCAGTAGCAATGCAGATGATCACTGCATCCGCGTATGGAGGATGTCGGCTAGCCCTTCCCACAGGGCTTTTTTTTTTAAGAGGCACACTGCCAAAACTCTTTGGGTGATGCTGTGAAATGCTATGTCTTATAATCCAAATCACTCTTATTTGTCATTATATACATAAATAATGTAGAGATATGTTAATAACATACGGCGATCAGCTGTATTACCCTTTGATGACACATACTCTGGAGCCATTTTCCAACAAAATAATGTTTCTTTCCCTGGTATATCACTCCGTGCTGTTTCAGTTACTCCCTGATCAGCTTGTTTCTCGGAACGTTTGCCATTTGAACTTATTTGGGACTTGCTAAACCATCAGGTACAAGGGCCATCAAGCTTTGAAGATCTGTAGTGATAATTGAGGATTGCCTGGTAAAATCTATCGAAAACGGCATAAGGAATCTCTTAGCATTCCTTGCCCCGCCGTACAACAGTATGCATTGCATCCAAGGGAGGTTTTACAAATTATTATTTGTAATGTTTAAGGGGCAACTGTTATCTATTAAATAATCACAGACCTGAAATTGTGATTGTTTTATTAATGCAGTTTATGTATTTTTTTAGATAACTAAAAATAGATACTTTCTTTATAAGGCCTTTTGGCCTTTAATGGTGGTTTAATATGGAGTAATACGGGATGTAGATGTGAAGTCACACGTTGCAACGTTGTTGGGAAGTTACACTGCGACGTTGCTGTGAAATCACACTGCAGTGTTTTCGTAAGGTCACACTATGACATCGTTGTGAAGTCGCACTGAGACACTGACGAAGCGTCACAAAGTGACGTAATTAGAATATAATTAGACACGCGAATGACATGTCGCATAACAATGCATTGTTTTTAAAATGGCTAATATAGTGACGCGATAACCGTGTTTTATTAGAGAATTATTATTATTAATTTATTTACTAATTCTGTAATTTTTAGAATCCCTTCGGTAAAATGAATAACAACTGCACTGATTTTTAATACAGTAAGAAGTTATACCTCTCAAAGTGTTAAAGAATTTACAGGACCTTTAAAGTTTTAAATTATTGAAAATATGCATATTAATCATGCCAAATTTTCTCATCGTACTAAGGTTACATCTCATCATAAAAGATTACATAATTGTCATCCATTTATCCAAACAATATCATTAACGATATTTCGATGCTGCAATTCTTGCAGCATTGTTATATATCGAGCAATTATAATGGAGCACATATTTTCATACCTGTGGAAGGGACGTGTTCGAAGAAGTTCGGACCGAGAACGAACGTGCTTGTGATGCAGCACCTCACATTGCTTATGTGTGTACATATAAGATGAGTGCTACAAATAAGATGAGTTGATAAGGATACATGGAAAGAATAGAGCGCAGAAGTTTCTGGACTGTGGTTTTCGGTACATCCACAAACTGCAGGCAATAGTTCTTATAGTATGCAATGTACCTGCAGTAATCGTATTGTGGATTTCACAAAAACTTCAGCAGGAACACATGGTTGTCTTCATTGCGTTACTATCATATGTGCATCCAGTTTCTTCAAATTTTTTTTACCAAATCATGCACAGTTTTTGCGAAACATAAGAATTTCTAAGCTTCTGATTTCGGTGATAAACTCGTACTGCTTCGGCAGCATTTTCCCCGTTCAGATAAAACTGCTTTAACAGTTCAGCTCGTTGATTCCCTGTAGGTGTCATTGTTACGAACTGAAATGAATTAAAGCTAAGTAAACTGACAACAGCTTCTAGAATGTATAAGAATGAGAGTTAGTCTTTAGTTTGAAACGTGAAGGAACGTTATGGTTTTTGGGTCTGTGTTTCATGTTTTTGAAATGACTTTTTTCTTCCTGGATTTTCAAAGCACCCTGCATCGGGTAGCTGCGAACTCATGAATCAAATTACGGCTTTTCGTTCTGAACATAAAGAAGTTGTACTATGAGTAGTACCCGAAACCACAGTCTGCGATTTAGGAAACCGATGCCTTATCCATTAGGCACGTTCTTGTTAGCACGTTCAAACACCTGATTTAAGAAATAATTTTTCCACACTGCTTATTAAAGGTTTTGCTGCAAGTAATGCTCTGCACATGGTGTTCTGTGATTGGTGCTTCTACTGTCTATCCATGTGAATTATGGAAAATGCGGTAGTGTACATCCTGTCTGTGTTGTGATTGGTCCTTTACAACGATCTTGTCTGCAATTGTTTTACGCTCGCAGTTTTCGTCACAAGTGTATCTTTCCAAAGCCATTTATTGTTTTTCAGTGTTCTCATTAGTTAAAAAATTCACATGAAGAAATTCGCATGGTGGAAGCATGTAAAAATATTCAGCATTAAAAAGTAATATGCTATTTGTAAAATTATAATAATTACTAAACTTCATTGAAAACATATTATATATAACTATAACCTGGTTTTGGAAATATAGTATCATTTGTAATGCTATGGAAATACGTCATAATTTGTAATGTCACTCAAGGTAACCCGCATGGAAGTACGGACCGAATTTGTGAAAATAATTTTGAAAAATACCAGAGATTGATGAAAAGTACTGTAATAAAATGCATAATGTAAATTACTTTTCACATTATCTTTTAATATTAAAAGCAACAGAAGTATAATTATATCTACCAAATAAAACTGACTCCTTAAATTAAAAATTTTAAGAACTGAGACAAAAAATAAAGTAAACTTTCACTAATGCCCTTGCTTCGTTAATACAAATAAAAATGAATCGATTATCAATTCATAATTCTTTTTTTTTTGTTCATAATTTTTAAATTACGCTTTTACTATTTTATATGAATTATTACTGATATCTTTCACGTCAATATATAGAAAATAGTGCTTACTTGAAAATTTAAGCAGTGAGGAGATCTTCAACTAGCAGAAGGTACAGAACTAAACAAAATGGCCGCAAAAAATCATCAAGACAAAAAAAAGCTGTACTAAATTCTTTGGTCAGCTCTTGATAACAATAGTATGGTATAATATCACAGAATATCGTTTCACGATTTCTTAGTGCACGCTATGAAGTATTAATATTTTTAATAAAAAAAATAGTTAAAAGCGCCAGCTATTAGCGTAAAAATTTATGTATTTCGAAAGGTATTGAAGCACTTAATAATGTATCGGGGAGGGAGACTAGATTGCGGAATCATTAACTAACGGGGACTTGAGCTAAGGTTAGCGCGCAGGGATACCTCTCATTAAAGAAGAATTAAGTGAGTAAAGTCATGAAAGGTGAAGGTGGAAAAAACTTATAATTTTCTTATGGTCATATTAAATGTTTGCAGTGACGTGTATATGACATCCGTGCGATATTCATATCCACATCCCAAGGTGACAATTTTGTGACGTTGTATCGTAGTCACAAATGTAATGTGACGAAAATGCAACATTGGAACGTTACAGTAACTTTCCAGTTACGTCTGCTGTATGTTAAACGAGTGATAGATAGCAACTTCTGGACTATACGGAGTGAACATCAAATCTCCATTATCACCTATAGTTACATATACATTTACATTTGCATGTTCATCACATGCAGATTGTTGGGTAATCAGGAAGAGCTACGGTGATTAAGAGTGCTAGTAACGATATTGTAGTTCTGGTTGACACTAGCTTATATCAGTGCTTCATGTAACGTTTGAAGCAATCCTCTTGAATACCTTTTCATTTTCCTTTTTTTAGTATAAGGTATTTTCTTCCTCTTTTCCGTACGTCTTCATGGTGTAATTGGAAACATACTCGACGCGTGATCGAGAGGTCCAGGGTTCGAGTCCCGGCGAGGGCTTTTGCACATTTTTCACCTTTCCTGTTTGAAACAAACCTAATGACTTTACAAGTGGCGCCTGAACTAAAAGGTGACGAATTAAAGGTGACGAATGATAATTCTTTACCTTTTAGTTCAGGTTCACCTTTTAATTATTCGTCACCAACGAATGATAATTCGTCACCACCAGGATCTCGTGATTGGGTCCCCTAATCCCCAGTCGCCTTTTAAAAGAGAGAGTATATAAGGTGTTACATTCTATGTCTAATTTAGTGTCGATTTGTTAAAAGATATTTAGATTGTTATCAAAACTGTTGACTTTCGGTTACTTAATAAAACTTTCATCATATGATATGTTAAGATGCACAATCTTTTATAAAATGTTGCATAAAACTGATAAAAAAATTACTTAAATTTTAGGTGCACTTTTTTGACGAAGATGATAAGTATAGCCTGGGTTTGGAATGGTACAGAAGAAGGATGCCTTATTCCTTTCCAGATCAGATCACTATTGAGAAAAGTCCGGCATACTTCATTACAGAATCTGCGCCAGCACGAATACGAGCTATGAACGAAAGTATACGCCTGCTCCTGATTGTACGAGATCCTGTGACCAGATTAATATCAGATTACGCCCAGCTGGCAGCCAATAAAGCAAGAAAAGACAAAGCCTTGGCCTCGTTCGAGGATTTAGTTCTGAATTCCAACAGTCAAGTAAACACAGCTTACAAAGCGGTACGCATCAGCATGTACTCTATCTTTTTCGAGAGGTGGCACAGAGTGTTTCCTAGAAGACAGATCCACATTGTAGATGGTGACGATCTCATTCGGGATCCTTTTCCTGAAGTCCAGAGGATTGAAGAATTCCTTGGCATCGCGCACAGAATTTCCAAAGAGAATTTTTTCTATAATAAAACAAAAGGGTTTTATTGCGTGAGAAACGAAACCACAGAGAAATGTCTCAATGAAAGCAAAGGGCGACGACATCCGGTGGTGTCTGAAGAAGTAATTCACAAACTTCGGCAGTTTTATGCTCCGTATAATAGGATGTTCTTCAGAGCAGCTGGTAGAGATTTTGGCTGGCCGGAAGAATGACTTTCAATTTTTTTATGTACAGGTCAATGTTACCTCTTCTATTCTCAAATAACATATCTCTCTCTTTTACTCTGTATTGTGAAATATTGAGATGAATGCTCGAAATCTTGCTACCGAAATTAGAGGATGAGTGATAACAAATCATTATGATCTCGTCATTCGTAATTATGACGGCAGTATAACTGCATCAATATATTTTAAAATGAGTACACTAAAATACAGATTAGATTGACGTATCTATTTCTTAGCAGTATAAAATAATAGATCAGCTGTAAGATCATGAGATAAAGCTATATTTTTCGATTAATTGATATTATCTGCATTAACGGAAAACATCTGCCTAGTTAGACAATCTCTTGTGAAATGCAAAATTAAGCAATTTAAAATTGCCTTACGTGAAACGTAAGCGTGCACTGCAGATGAGAGAGGAACTATGGTTCATAGGAATATGCATATTTTCTGTGCCAAATTTATTGTTAAACATAATCCATATATTTAATTTCATTTTTAAATGTTTTCGCTATAACAGAGGTTCGGTTTTAAATTGCTGTGTATTGCGCATAATCTCATTTCTTTCTGTATGATTATTACCGTATACTTAAAGCTGGATATTTTCATTGAAGATGAGAAAATCTCTTCTGCTTTGAATGAAACTTAAATATACAGAGAGATGCTTTATTTGAAACATATCATTGTTAGAGTTTAAACTGCCTAGCATTTCACTCTGTGAGTTTAAGTCATTCAGAGCTTAAGATTTTGGGGAAATACACGATATATTTTAAGAGCATAGCTTGATTCTGAGCATTTGTCGCATTTGCATTAATATGTGAGATCGTGGTGTGAGACATTTGTATTTACAATAGCATATCAAATGTTGCAGATATATGATACCTAAAACTCTGCAATCAGTGGTCGAAGTAGCACGCACTTGGTGATACTAGATTCCTATTTTTAAAAATGTACCTTTTCAAGCGTTTGATAAACTACTGAATTTGCGTCACTGTGTTTATATTTTGTACAATGAACTCGTGTCTTAAGAATTTGAGACTTCATATTGTGTAAGAGATAAAGTGTTTCACAAAGTATTCTTTTAATGAAATAAAATACGGTGGAGATGAATGAGCACTATCATAGAAATCATTGCAAGGCTACAAATTATTCTTAACGTGTTATCAAAGCTGCTGCTGCTCTGAAGATTTAGTATATTTATGAGAATTCTGATTATATATTTCCGTAAAATTGCCTATATTTTTTAAGTTCTGAAACATAAATCATTTTATATTTGGTAGCTCTAATGGTATTAAAGTATTCCTTTGCTTTAATGGATAAACAATAAAAATTATTTTTTAAATCGGAGTGAAATAATATTTCCTCAGTAAAGACGGTAAAGTTATGGCATCAGTTGTATTAAAACTCAGTTTAATATAATTTTTTCATAAGCCCTTGAATTGAAATTTAAGATGAAACTTGCAGACCTTTTTAGACCTAATGTGTAAGACAGTAACGTTTTTTCTAGCGTGCTTAGTAATTAGTAAAAACACAATAGAACTTTTTATTACTTAATCAGTTGCACTTCTGTCCGCTATTGACTGTATCATTTGAAAGGGATAAAAAGTCGAAAAATGGCCAGGCATTTAACGATTTATATTGCATTGTGTTTAAATAGCCGATATCGTATCATATTTTAAATATTAAAAATTCTGTTTCATTTTTAAAAAATGCATTTCAATTTGTGTTACCGTTAGTATTAAAAATTAATTATAGAATATGATAGCTAACATTAGGTTCGGAAAAATATATTTACATAGTTTGAAATTTGTGTGCATGCTGTACATTTATTGCTCATCTATAAGAATTATGTTTTCAGTTTTTTTTTATCTCAACCTTTCTGAGTAACGGGGTAACATTTCTCACAAAGCACATAATGTCCCATGCATGAGGAATTTCTATATGTTAAAGATTCTTATCTGCTTGTATGTGTTCTAAAAAAAATATCATGTTAAATAAGCAGTTAATTGTTTGGCATGAAGTTGAGTTTAAATTAAGGGGAAAAATCTTTCAAATAAGTATTTATTTATTATTATGCTACTAATGTTGAATTTTTAATCTTGTAGGTAATCTCGAATCAATATAATCTAATGATTACTTTGTATTTAATTTTGAATCTGCGTTTATACAAGTTCTTGAGTTCTAAAAGACAGGACAAAAACTTTTAATGAATAGACTACCTTGATAAAAATCTGAATATTGTAATCTAATGTATGCAAATCTTGGCATTAAAATTAATGTATAAAAAATAGCTCGTAAACAGTATTTAAATAGCATTTATCAACGAAAGTTATTGTGAAATAATAGTAGTTTTGACTTTTTTTTTTCTTTTCTTTCCCTCTGAGAATTACGGCTCGTATTATTTTGCTGGTTATTACAGATAAATGAAGTATTTTTCTTTCTTATTTTTACAAATTTCAATTTTTTCCATTTATATAAAAACCCACAATAGCCCACGTGTTTACCTCAATCAGGTATAAAATAACGTCCGTCATTTCTAATTGTCTATAATATATAACGTGGTTTTTAAAGCGAAGAATTAAAAGCTTTTCTAATGAATATTGTTATGTAAGATAAAAATAAAATTAATATTGCAGATATTATATTTATCAAATATTGAAAGAAATTGTGAATCGAAAATAAAGAATAAATTAAATGGTAATCATGTGCTTGCGAGGGAAGGCAAAGATATAGTATGAGACTCACACAGAGGTGCTTGTAAATTAAGTGAATATTATTAAAATGTCACCAAAATATTAATTGAATTCCATTTAAGAAGCTTTGGGTTTCCTGGAATATTTGTGTTTCGCAAGAAATATTGATGACTAGACTAATCTTATATGAAAGTATTTTTGAATGGCGCGAATGTTATTTCAAGAATGTAGCAAGAGTAAGAAGGCTGAGAGACCACAGTTCAGACTTAAGAGAGACTAATTATAAAAAATCTATGTTTTTCATTTCCGACAGTCTTTTGTTGTAAGAGTTTTGCTTTAACTGAGAGATTATTAAATTATCATAATTTGAAATTACTACTCTATGGCTGATCAAAGGAAGAAAAACACTGCATTTTAATTGTCAGTGTTGAATACGTTTTTACTTAATTGTGAAAAAATGTTACTTTTATTACTAAGGAAACACTCTTAATTTAAAATTTGAGCCGGAAAAGCTTTTTATTTGAAAAATAATACACCTCAAATAATTTTAAATAAACTATGTTCTTCTCCTAGGTTACTCAAATTATTTTCAGTAAACAGACTCTTTTAAATTCCGGTAAGTTTTATTTTAAACATGGGTCGCCTTAGCTTTGTAAATTTGAAAAATATACTGTCTTTCTCATGAAATGTTTTTCCTGCCCTTTATGCATTCGTCTTGAAAGTCAGAGTCTCAACCACCATTTCTTCTAAAGATTAATTATAGTAATGAATTTAAGAACTCTATGAGAAAAGTTGCTGAAATTTAATGAACTAAAATCGCAATATAAATGAGGAAAATGCTTAGCAAAGCAGAACTTGCGGCTTGTATTATTAATATATTTTGAGTACTTACAGATATAATTAATAAATTAAAAATAATTTTATTCTTTTCCAAGTTTTTGAAAACGGCAGTGCTAAATCTACTTTTTCCGCTATGAACATACTAAATATTTTTATTTGTTAAAGCTATCCTAAGACGTTATTTGTAAGTAAAATTCACGATTCCTTATACGATGATTCAATTATAAATCCATGAACTTACAGTATTGAAGTTTCAAGATTATAATATTTTTACTTCCAAAGATTAGAGCTTTCATCATCTATTTTAATATAATGTTAATTTATTAATCAATTTTATAAATAAATACGTATTTTCTTTCAGCTATCATTAATTTCCTTTTATTAAAGCATTTTTGATGGAATAACTTTTCAGTCCCACTCGAACTGCTTACTTTTACAACTTTCACAATCGCCTTAAAAGTTCATTTTATGTAATTTTTCTACTTTAAGTATAAAGCGTTATTATGTATTTTAAATAATGAGAATTTGGCGTAATGAAACATAAATTTCGAATTTAAGAGCGAAGGTTCTTTCAAATTAGTAAATCTTTGTGTAGAGAGTATATTAGTGGTTCGGAAAAGAAACAGATTTTTTGTGACACGTTTTCGTAAGTATTATCTAAATATAAACTTGAAGTGTAAATCATGGAAGCAATAACATCCATAATTTCAATAATTCTTTTCTAAGTATTACTTATCTTTTTACCTGTGTTGAGGAAAATATCTGCATTGTAAGAAAGTGAGGTTTCTAAAAAAGTAGGTTTAAATATAAAGGAATTCAAATACTTACTCATAATTGTATTTAAAGCTTTACTTGCGTGCAAAGTAATTAAACCGGCAAACATCGAAGGTACAATTAAGTGCTTAATTTTATGATTATTGTTTTCGAATTGTTAGTATTATTTTTATTTCCCGTGCTCCCTATCTAATTAATATGTGTTGAATGCTGTTTTATAAAAAATATGGAAACATGTTAATCATACCTTTTCTTGTTTGAGTAAGTATTTCAGTCAGCCAGCATTGAGTTTTTTAGTAAATTAAAACTGAATACTTTAAATTTATCTATTTTGGAATAATTTAAAATATAACAAACCATCATCATATTCATTTCCATTATTATTCGCATTAAAAGCAATGCTGCCTTTTTACCATGCCTTAAGAGTGTCTGGCTATTAATTTAAATTAAAATATAAGGAGTATTAGAATTTTTTTCTGAAATTATCAATTCATATGATAATTTTCCTCTTCTCTACGAATTTAAAGGTATTGTTACATATGACTCATCGTGAACAAGAAACTGAATCATAAACTTTGTGTAATTTTAAAAGTGTCTGAATTTTATATATATTATGTCTATTGCATGGAATTTTATGAGAAACGTTTACTCATACAGCCTTACATGAAGACGCACTTTTCTTGTGCTGAAGCTAGTAAATCAACATTTTATTGAAAACTGTAATTTAAAGATGTTGGCACAACTGGAGCTTTCATAAAGTTCATAAAGTAATTTTAATTTTAAGGAAGCATTTTTAAATATTTTTCATTTGATATAATAGACATTGTACATATTTATAATACAATAGGCATTGTACGTTGTTCTAAATAAGGTGCACAGATCTTTAAAACATCTGAATTAACATATCATAATGCTCATACAGGTACATAAGTTTCTATTTTTATCTTTAGGTGCCGGAAGAATACGGCATTATTTTAGATGTTTTTTTTTTTAATTTGAAAGCATTTTGTCGATTTTCATATGAATCATATTTTTATATATAAAATATATTTATTAACTACTAGATCTTTATGAAACAGAAATATCTATTATATATATGTGAATAAATATGTTAATAATTCATATTTAATAACTTAAAATTGGTAATGATTGTTTCGTTTCTTAAAATTCGGTGACAGTGAATAATAGACAAAAGGTATTGGCCCTTACACTTCGACTACTGATTGCCTGAAATATGCCCTCGAATCCATGATGCATATCTGTTAATGTAGTTAAATATCTTGATGAAAGCTGTTAGTTTTTAACCAATATTTTCATAAAAGGTGTGATCCAATGTTTTACATGTATTTAATATAGTGCTCTTTTCTATTTTTGGTTGTTAAATGTATTTAATGATAGAATAAGCAGCTATCTGGATGACACTTATGACATCACAATCCTAACTTAGAAGTTTAAAGTAAGCGCGTTTCAAAAAAAAAAAAAAAAAAAAAAAAAAAAAAAAAAAAAAAAAAAAAAAAAAAAAAAAAAACAAAAAAAAAAAAAAAAAAAAAAAAAAAAAAAAAAAAAAAAAAAAAAAAAAAAAAAATTGAAGCGAGTTCTGAGATTTACCATGATTGCACTTTTTAATCACGCACATTTATATATACATTTATTTTCATTTCTAGAGTTTTGAAAGATCCCTCTATGCTGGGAAAAAATACTAGTATTCCATGACTTGCTTTTTTAAGATCCTAATAAATAGTCTATAAACATGACACTCCAAAATTACATATAAGGAAATTCACATTTTGAAAGTTAACAATCCAAAATATTATGATTTTTTTACTAAAAATCAAAGTATTTGGTATTGTTTTATAAGTTCTAAAAGTTAAAAATCAAGTACCGTTCTAAAAAAAAAAGAAAAAAAAAAGCGTGTATTATACATATTTTTCTAGACTTCATCAGAAATATTAGGAAGCAAACTCGTGTAATTCTCTATTATTTGTTGCATTTATAGATAAAACATGTGCAATTGAGCTTTCGAACACTGGATCACGCTCTCAGTCACCTCGTTTTCTTCACCCTATATAAAACTTTTCGCTTTGAAAATTCTTTCCGTCTTCCTGAATAATTATACTCTTCCCAAACTAAAAATTCATTCCAATAAGAGACACGAATGTTGTGCGAATGAAATTTTTCCAGGAAGAATTAACTCACCTCCTTAATAAAACTAAGCAAGATTATGTTTATTTATTAATTTGTAAAAAAAAAACATTCAGACTTTTATTTAAAATATGCGAAATTAACTTTAAACCTGTGAAAGTGAAATTTCAAGTTCTCAACAATTTTTGCAGCGTTTAGTTAGCGTTCATTTTTGCATAATATGTCTAAGCCAAAAAATGACAAATTATATCTGAAATTTAAATATTCTCGTCCGTATGTATTTTTCCCTCAGTTAAGTCTCTATAGTTAAGTATTATTCTTTACTCGTCCGTCATTAGTTAAGCATATAACGTATTTTCATTAATTAGCAATGTAAGTTTACTTTCCTTTCCCCTGTGAGCTTTAGTGTTTGACGAACTGTTTCGTAACTTCGCTCTCAAGCTCAATATTGTTTAATATACATCTTTAATCTAGTTACTTCCTAATTATAATATCTGCTTATTCAGCACTCAGGCGTTTCTTTGTATTTTTCGTTTTGCTTTAAATTATTTATTTTTTCTAAATCATTTAACAAAGATGTGTATAATTCAGCAATAAATTAATGGTTGATTAATTTTGAAATAGATATGGTCCAGCTGAAATAATATGTTCTTGAAATCCTTTCTTTTTACGGTAAACATAGTTCTAAAGGCAGGTGAAATTCGAACTTCATGCAAGTTCGGAAGCATGCTATTTAATTTGGGACATTTAAATATGATCCAAAGGAAACGAGGTGACCGATAATCTTTAATGACAATTTGCCTCCGGTATCCGAAGTATTTATAAATTTAGATGACAAATGAAAATCCTTTATTCAAAGCAGAATCGACTGCGATGAAGAAATTGAACATATAATTCTGACTTCTTTCTCGTATTTCGAAAAAACTTTCTATTTGATTGTTGCTGAAGGTTAACTTTTCATCTTCAATTTTACATTCTGTGCAACAGTACGGTAAAATTGGAAATATTCGAGCAGATGTAAGAAAAGGTGTAGAAAATACAATAAAAGGCCGTTTTTTAGATTCACTTCAAATTAACTTGGCGGTATAAAAATAAATCTTTTAAATTAAAATAAAAGACGCATCAAACAGTTTACACAGTATTTGCAAAGTTTTAGATGTATTTGCTATCGTATTATCAAATCGTAGGTATGTTTATGCAAATATAAAATCTAATACTAGTTGAAGGAAGTCCTTTTATTGATTAAAAATTTCTCAACTGATGATGGAATGTTTGTGAAATAACATAAGACCTTATTAATAAACTTAAAAATATTCTTCATCATATAAATATGATACATGTAAATAATATATATATATATATATATATATATATATATAGTGAAGTGCAAATCTTTAGTTTGCAAATCCGAGTATGTTAATTTTAACAAAATGTTACGTATTCTCTGCACATGTCATAACATTTAAAATGTTAAATAAATAAATCATTAATGATCTATTAATCTGTAGGTCGTAAAAATTCTTCAAAAGTGGGAAATATAGAGATTAATCAGGAGCTTCTTAAAGGAGGTCCCTTTTAATAATATTTATAACAAAGCGTAATACAGCCCGACGTTCCAGTTGTAAAAAATGTATGATTTGTATGACTCATCAAAATATCATGCAGATATCTGAGGATTAAAAACTCTCAATCCAGCTTGAGCTCAGGGTAATCTTAAGATAAACTCTTCTACTTTTTAATCATTTCATTCATACTAATAAGTTTACGAGTCCTTTGAAGTGAAAGGATTGTTGTTAAACTGCAAATAATTCTTGTGACCTTGCTAGCTATCACATAGCCTGGATATCTGTCTCTCTAGTGTGTTTACACTGTAAAAGTTTTGTGTGTGAAAAATTATATGCCATTAATCACCGGCTTGCTTTATCTGCAAATATATAGACATACGCTAGCTCTTCATCAAAATGGCATTTTTATGAGTCTTTGAATCACCTAAGAGATACGTACTTCCATTGATCATAACATTTGCTGAAAATATAAACCTGTCATACCTTATTGTGTCTCTCTCATCGGAGAATCTATAATGTATACATTATTTAGTGAAAAATGCAACAGTACTGCGCTTGAATGGTTTTATCTAACAGCACCAGTGAATCCTTTGATTGTACTGTAGCACGGTGGCAGTGATCGTATTGCTTCTAATTCCCTTATCTAAGACATCCTAGAACTGCTAACGATGAAACTGTTCTTTCCGAAGCTTCAAAATTTGCAAAAGAAGATAAGTCTGCATTCCTTTCACTACAGATCTACCTGTTGCAGAAAATTTTCCCTCTCCAAATCACTTCTTTTCTGTCATTTCGAGGCAAGCCGATATATATTGGTATATTTCACTAGGCTTTTATGTAAATAATGAGGTTAAGTGTATAGATCTTTAAAAACGTTTTATGAGAATAAGGTGTTTAATGTGTTCCCGTATTGAAATTTCCGGTTAATGCTGTTATCTATATAATGACATGAAACATTCGAATGCTGTTTCGTGAATGTAAACAAGTATGACGAAATATCGCTTGCAACTTGACTTTTGCATTTCAGCACATATATGTATACAGCTGTTCAAAACTAAAATTTTCATGTGTTTTTAACTTCTATAATTAATTCTTAAAAGAAAGAAATGAAACTCATGTTTGGAGGTGTTTAGATATACTTGTAAAATTGTTCTACAATTTTATATATTTATTAATGTGCGACAACTTGTATATTTAAGCAGGTATATCTTCTTTACTGTTTTAAAGTTTATTGCATAAATTATAATGCTGGAAATGTAGATAAGAATATCAGTAAATTATTTGAAACCAGAATTAAAAATACAACTCGAATGCGACGGAATATTTCGCCGTTCCAATGTACTGGAGATCAGAGGTGCTGCATTTTAACATTGTGCCCTTGATAAACAATAATAAGATATGCCTTTTCTTGCGTCTCCTCAAGAGACTAGTGATATTCTATACATATCAGAAAGCGACTAACTTTTACAATTTATCTTTTAACTGTCAAGTGTCAATTGTGTACTAGTGTAGTTACTTTCAGAAGGAGAAACGTTGTGCGCGTCCTTTTTTTGCATGATGTTTACGAATTCGATTTTGCTGTAGAGGAAAATGAGGAAAGTTGCTGAAAAGAAATGAAGATGTTTAGTATTAAACATATCAGAAAATACATATCGGAATACAACATATCATTGTAATGGTGATCTTAAAATTGAGTATGAATTGTTCTTGTTGCTCATTATTTGTTTATTTCTGTTGTACACTGGTTGTGGTAAAGTATTTTTATACATGACTGCTATGATTGTAAAGTGTAAAGTATTTATGTACTGTTAAGGAAGTACGGAAATTTTCAGGACCTAATTTACGACAAAAATACCTTGAATAATCTGTAATACATCCCAGTACATGTATTATGAATGTGAATCAATTATGGTCTCTAGCAGTTTCTACAACTGTATTTATTTGAAACCCGATGATGTTAATTTTTTCCTTACACATTTTTTTTTCCGATGAAAAAAATTACATAGTATTTCTTTCTCATCATTATATTTTATAAATCTGTATATTCTGAACTAATATACTTGTTATTAAAAGCAATATATTCGAAATTTGTGTATCAGTTAGGAACATTTCGTAATAAATAAATTTTGAAAAATGTAATGCTCTAAAATTTCTCTTTTATTTGTCTAAAATATTCACACAAACATTAATACAAAGCAATTTTAAAATAAAAGGATTAAGGCCAAAAATGCCGTTATCTTTGAGGAAAATGAGGTTTCAAAAGTGAACTCCGAACGTGGACAAATTGGTACATTAAGACAACAGTTGGGAGAGGGAAACAAAAAAACAAGAACACAATTGATTTCAAATTCTTTGGATGCCCGAAAAAATGTTCACCAGTTTCAAAGATGCCTATTTTCAGCTACTTACCTGCTACTTTCTACTACTATGAGCGTGTATTTTTTCACCTCTGGGGCAAATAAATAGGGAAATCTCTAAACAAGCACAAGAAATAGAATTACTATTCAGTACATGCATATTCGAGCAATGTAAATAGAAATCAATTCATATTCAACTGACCCACAAATACACTCGTGCTAAAAAAATAAGCAACAAACGGTAAAGGAAAAAGTACGAAAGTAAAAAGGGGGACTAAAACATACAGTTTACATATGAGGTGGAGGTTGCATCGCCGAATGCAAATAGGCAACCAAAATTAGCATTAAACGCAATCCCGCAGTCACACCACTACGCCTTAAAAAGAGGCAGGCCGGACCTATACGTCACTTTGCAAGCAGGTATAGTTCCGTATAATCCAAGATAGCCTCTCAATCCCCGAAAATTAAACCCATAATGGTTAAACCAAGCGTTAAATACTCTGGCTTTGTAAAGATATTAAAAAATGATACAAAATGTGAAGTTCTTAACAAAATAAATGGTGAATTCTCGAAATTTTTCCCCAAGACTGAGGATGATCATCGTAGTATTACTAGATACTTAGGCGAAC